GAGGTTTTCTGCTGAGCAGAATTAAATGATGAAAATTTCCCTTTTCACTGAAATATGTTCTTCTCTTCCCAGAACTCAGTCACGTTTCGCTATAAGTAACTTGTTATTTACTCCGAACATCAGCTGAAAATGTTCTTTTTTGTCTCTCTCTGTTTGCTCTGCAGATAATTTTTTCACTGAACCAGTCATCTGCTATTTCCTGGATGGATTTCTGATCATTTACTGCATCATTGTCACAGGGTTGTTCTTTAGAGAAAAGGTGAGTTATAGCAGCCCATGTAAAAGTTGGTGGTTACAGCGCATGCAGAAAAACATCATGGGACTGAATACCAATCCAGAACATGATCCACTCTTTACTCTGTAAAGTGTGTAAAAATCTGTCAGATTGTAACCAGTGTGTTTGGATCAGTAATGTGCTGCTGTAATCAAGAGCTTGCAACACTGGAGTCCCGCAAGGATCAACACGGGGGCCACTGTTATTTAGCTTGTACATCAATGTCTTGATTTATTTGTATGTGTCACTTATTTTCACACACAAAAAGATGAGCAATTAGCTATTCATCTGTAATATTTCATTAAAAACAGTCCAGAGGAAAGGGACACATCTCAGTGTTATCTTGCATCCTATTATTAGCTTCAGAAAGCATATAACGAGGATGTGTGGTATGCAGAAATACTAATTAGCTCACTCATATCCTGAATGTAATGATAATTTCTCACCTAAAATCACCTGTTGGTCTCTAAAGCAAGAAAAACTTTAAAACCGGTCACATCACTTTTTAAAAAAACCTGTTTAACAAACAGTTTCAATTCTGTGACGTCTTTAGATAATACAAATATTCAGAATTAAGAACCTTTTTTTTTTTTTAACTCATATGTTGGTTTTGTCTTTAAAATAGTTTACAGTACTGCATCTTCACCATTAAAATATTTGTATGGCTTTACTCAGAGCAGATTAGCAGGGCGTAAAGGTCAGCTGCTTGTGGTGTGTGTAGAGTTCTTAAAACAGGATAAAGAGTGCTGTTGTTTCCCCCGAATCATCCTTTTCATAAAATACAAAGGACATCTCAAGAGCTCCCTAAAGTTTGACGAGGTAGAAATTTTCCCGTCTTGACCCGTCATGCAAAACAACCCTAACATGCACATTATTGGTCTGGTTGGTCTAAACTTAAAATTTAGACTAAAAATAAACACTATTTTTAGTCAATATTTAATATCTTCTCTCCTGTGAAATAAGTGTTTTTGTGCATAAATAAAAAGAAGAACTAAACGTAACGATATTTAATACCTTGATAGTTTAGTTTAAAGTGACTTTGTAGCAGCCTAATAGTCAATTAATTAACTAAATGACTTCAAAGTGCAAATCATTTGTGTTGCAGGGCCAACCGTGCAACATTTTCTACTTCTCTAATCTGACAAATTCTTCTGATAAGTAACTCAGTGAATACAATTTTTCAAATATATCAGTTTTAGATTTTGAACAGCGATATAAAATAACTAATCTTCACCCCGGAAAAGATGTTTTAGAAGTTTTAACAGCATTTATCTCACTAAATGTGAGGGTTTTTGTCTTTCTGTAACAGATTGCCTCAGTCACAATTTGAAGAAATTACAGATAAACAGCCTGAATTTTTTGTCTTTTTAAATCGCCACTGATAGGCCAAACTGACTCATTATATCAGATTGATCTGTGCTACATTTTATTTGTCCTTTTTGCCTCTTTCTATAGTTTTCCAAAGGCCCATCTGTGGGAGTCACTGTAAGTCTTCATTTTCTTCGGTGTCTTTATGCTTTACAGTTGCTGCTGGTGGTGAACATTTCTCAACTGTTGTTTAAATGATATTAAATAAATGTGTGTGAGGATGTGTGTGCATTCAAGCTTCACTTCATGTTTGTGCTCTTCTTGCTGAATAACAGGAAGAAAATGGCATTTATCAGGTAAGGACAGCTTCACCTACAGCTCCAACCGCTCTGTGACCTGATCATGTTTGACTCTACAGATTGGATTGTATAATTTTGTATTATTATTGTTATTTGTTTTCATTTATGTCCAGGAACTTGAGAGACCAAAAGATGCTGATCCTTACGAGGTGCTTGACCCATCAAAAAGAAAGGTTTGGGACACTTCATTTGTTGGTAAACTTTTTAATGGTCACATTCTCACATTTTCTGGTGCCTTTATTCTTGTTTTGTTTTTGCATATTGTAGAAAAAAGCAGGCAAGAAAAAGAAACCTGAGGTAAGAAAGTTTGTTTACTTACAGGGTTTGACAGAAATATTTAACCAGTAAAGCATCTGTCCTCAGAGTAGTGCTGTTGTCGCTCTGCTTTATTTCATATCCCCATGGTTCCAAGAGTCTTGCAAAAATGTCAGTTTCTATGCAGAAGAGAAACAATGCTGAGGGCCCTGTAGGCATTTAAACAGCAGATGTTTGAACTTGCTAGAGCAGGAAAAACACACAGGTGTTGCTAAAAACATCAGTATCAATAACCTGTATTGCTCAAGTTCTGACAAGTTTGCTGCAAGACCAGGATGCTGAAACTTTAAAAAATAGAAAAAAAAAGAGAGAAAGGGTAATTTGAAACAGAAAAGTTGGAAGGATCTGAAGTGAAAACAAATGTATTAGACCACCACCCAGTGTAAGGTTTATGCCACAGCTGCTGTAAATTAAAAGTATGGATAATTACCAAAAATCATATTTTATGTTTCTGTAATGGTTAATCAATTAATTTGCACAAGCACTTTAATCAAAATTATATTTTTAATGCTAAAGTATAATTATGATTGTTGCAAATGAATTTTCAACTTTACTATTGTACAAAAAAGCAGGGAAAAATTGTAAACCACTTTTTAAAAATTAAAATACAGTTATTTACCTGCATTACTGGACAGAACTGTTGGTTTTAGAGGTTGAACAAAGTGCTTGATGGATTTCTGACAGATTTCTAAAATATTTGTGTTGTTAATAAGAGGAACACTAACAATCACAAAAAAAGAGAGAGCCAACAAATTTTGGGGTGTGGCCCCCTCTTGGTGGCGCCCCTGATATGGAGACACCATGTAATCAAAGCATCCTACTGACCTTGTGATGATACACTGCCTGAGTTTACATGTTGAATCACTGATCTGCACAGCGGATGGATTAAATTGTGCAGACTCTTCTCGGTTAGGAGAACTGAAGGTCCCATCAGCGTGGCGCTTTAACCTTTTCTCACCTCTTTACTGCAGATGGCGAGGGACCCCCTTGAGTCTTTGATTCCCAGTACCTCATCTCCTCGTCCTGTTCCTCCTCTGTCTCCCCACTGACATCCTACAGTATCAGCAATAGTGTTACTAGTGTTACTGTTCGAGTCATTTCTTAAACTAACAAAAAATAAAATAAAATTGTGGCTTCAGCTTCTCAGATATGAGGATTTGCTTCTAAATTAAATGTCTAGTCAGAGAAAACAGTTTGTAGTCACTTTGTATTTGTGTTATGTTGTGATAAGCTTTTCTCTCATGTTATACAATAAAAACTAACAAAGAACCCTACATTAAGGCTAAAAACAAACTCGTTATGAGTTCAGATATTTGATGTAACCATTTTTACATCTTTAAAGTTGTACTTGCACAGCAGCTGATAATGCTAAACAGTTATCAGCAACAGTAAATCCAGCAGACAGATAAAGGGAATATCATCAACAGTCTTCTTAAAATGCAACTTTCTGCTGGGCTCTGACCAGACTATATATTGTAAATATAGAACTTTATATTGTTGTTGTCTAAGTGCCGCCCACCCCCATGTCAGTCCAACTGCAGTCTGAATCCAAATCAAACCTGAATCAGTTCAACTATTCCTGCAAAACAAGTTTGAGCCATGGAGGCTCCACCTTGCAACCCACAGCGCCAAAAGAATCTGCAACATACTGAAGCCAGAGATGACTGGACATCCCCTTACCACGACCTGCCAAAGCCGGTGGATTTATATCGCAGCAGATCAGTGCGAATTATATTACTTATAATACTTGGCTGCTTGAATTATGTTTTTAGAAAATGCTCATGTATTGGGATTCTCTCACAGATACATCTCAAGGGTTTACAGAGATGAAAAAGAAAATATCCAGTGAGGGGATAGGAAGCAAGCGGTAATTCAAATAAACACTTGTTACACAACTAAAGTATGCAGAAGAGCATCTCTGAACAAAGACTCTTGAAACAAATGGGCTACAGCAGCAGAAGACCACACCGTCTTCTGCTGCTCCTAAGACCAGGAAGTGGTCTTAGGAGTCTCAATTTCTGTTACAACTTCAGATGGTAGGTTAAATATGTTGCATGGGACGACTTCATAGCATATTTGCATCAACTTGGCATTCATCATTTAAACAGCAGAGACTGAGTATTGTTACTGACCATGTCCATCCCGTTATAACCAAAGTGTACCAACAAATCAATTTTTGAAATCTTTGTCCTAAATGTTGTATAGATGGAAGCAAAATCTGTCTGGCACTGATGTATAATGATTAAAATTTGCACATTTAATCCCAATAAAAGACAAAGCACATGTCAAAACACTTGGAAAATGGTTTAATGATGTTTACAACAAAAGAGAACTGTACATTTACAGTAAAAGATTATCTTTATATGTGTATAAAAACAAAAATACAGCAGACAAATGCATCAAAATCTACTATGTATCCTGATTCACATACTTAAAACTCCTACACAATCTTTCAGCTCTATGCCGCCATCTCTGGAGGCCTTTTTTTTTTTTTGTCGTTTTTGTCGTATTTAGATCGGAGCAGTGTCCCTCAGTGTTGTATTCCACAATGGAAACCAAAACTCATTACATTCGAGTCCTGGAAGTCAATTAATATCAGACTGCAGAGTAAGAAAAGGGAAATAAAACAGGGACACATTCCTTTAGATGAGCCCAAGCTTCCAAAGTGAAATGTTTTACAGAATGCATTTCTTGAGATACACAGACACAATATGTACATGGTTGGCGATTTTTTTTTTTTTTTAAAGTTATTTCTCTCTTGTTGAAAGCCATGGTCACTTGGGCTGTGAACTGATAATCACACACACACACACACACACACACACACACACACACACACGTACGTACATATATATAACACACCCAAAAACATACAAAAATACTATATCTTTAACCTACCAAGAGTAAGACAGTTCTGCAATTAGTTCCATGCTGTGACAGAAAAGAGATTACAACAAACAAACGAGGAACAGACGCTTTTTCACGCAAGTTTTTTCTCAGAAATATACCAAAATATACATCTAAGCTTTGGAATTACTGAGGCTGGGACTTTAAAGCCAGTGCTGGGTTTGTCTCTTAATACACATGCTGCAGGGTGAAAGGGAGAGAGAGAAACCAACAGAGACACACACAGGACAGAGAGATATCTTTGGTATCTGCATTTGTCAAAAGTTAAATATTTGGATTTTTGCTTTGGGATAGCGCTTGTGAGGTCCTACAACCTCACTTGGAGTAAAGCATTAAACAAAGTGTCACTGAAGCCCTGCCGACCAGGAGGTCTGAGTCAGAGGGACACAGTCCATGCAAAGTGAAGGACCATGATGCATAGTGTCACAGCTGATCAGAGTCTGTAGTGAGGAGTCAAAGAAGAGAGCAGATGAAAGGGAGAAGGAGGAGGAGGAGGACAGGGAAGGGGACACAGCAGAGAGTTTTAGCGAATGCAGGATGTGTATTCCTGGAGACAACAACAGGGTCATGTCCTGGGACTACAGTGTACAGATGAGGAAGAGAGACGCACTGAGAGGCAGGAATAGCATTTTTCGCCGCAGTCCTTGAGAAAGGAATGACGGAGGGTGGGACATCAATCCAACCAACCAAACGACAACAGCGCTCAAGACAGACAATCATACAGAGTCCTGAGCAGATACAGTGTGCACAGGATCAACCCTCAGTGTGTATTAACAAACATCACCCAGCTACCACCGCATCGGTTCGTGTCTGCCGGCGAAGCCCGCCCGGCCCCTGCTACCCCTCCCTTCTGATCCCCGCCCACAGGCACTGAAACCACTGCAGAGGCGTCGAAGGGGGCGCCGGACGCACATTCGAATGCAATTTTTTAAAAAAAACAACCTCTTTACAAACGAATCAAGGGGCGTGCAGCCGGGATTTGATGTTGAGCAGTGAGGCGGGGATGGGTGAGAGGTGGCGTCGATCACATACAATCAAGTTAGTAAGAATTCTTTGGTTATCGTTGGTACCACAGGGGAGCGAGAGCGGGCTGCGACGGCGAGCCATCACGTGGGAAGAAGTGCACATACCTGTACCAAGCCAAGAGTGAGAAGATAAATAAAGCAAGATTGTCAAACTTTAAAAAAAAAAAAAAAGGGTGGGGTGGGGGGTGTCCATAGAATTAATCAAAATTCACGTTTTCATGAATGAAATCCTTCAGTGCACAAGAAATTGTGAAAGAAGAGCAGCAGATGTTTGCCCCTTGTTACACACAGATTCACCTTTTATGCCTTCTCTTGTTTACACCTCTTTGTGAGTACTGGTATGTAGTTCATCTCCCTCTTGTGGCGGCTCCACAACCCTTCACTAAGTACAGGTATGAACACGCTTCTCCACTGACAAGTTGGTGTATTTTAGTCTTTTTTTTATGATTTTTAAAAACATTTGTTTCATAAGTAGATTAAAGCAGGTTTCACTCAATCTTGAGTTAAAAATGAGGTATACAACAGCTCCTTTAGCCTTACTGGTGCGCCACGCAACCTTTGACATTTAGTAAAAGGAGAAAACAAACAAACAAAAAACCAAAACTCTCAGCAAACCAGTGTGGTGGGTCAACATACCGTCTGTTAGATGCACAGCTGATCCGCAAGAATCTCAGGATCACCTGAAACCGAAGCTTCACAAGCAAAGCCAGTGGCAAGCAGACAGTTCGTGAGAGTCCAAGCTGACCCCAAACAAACTGAAAGCTGGCTTGGCTCTCGGCAGTGGCTTGCTTAAAGCTTGAAGTTAATTTGTAAAGACCCTCAGTCAGGAAACTTCAAACAAAATCCCAAAACAAAACAAAGTCGTCCTCTTGTCTCACCCTTTTTTTTTCCAAAAATCAGTCTAAACACCTGCTGGAAGATGGGAAAGATGCACCAAAATGGTTTGCAGACTGTCCTCCCTGGCCTCTCTTTAAATGACACACTCACACAAACACACCTGCCTGCTGGAATTATTAGTAAAGCTTTTTCTCACAGGTATATCCTCCTACCTGTCTAAGTCGCACCTAAAAACCATAGGTAGCAACATAATCGTCCCACGCTCTAAAATGCCCAGAGTACACTGTACTGTTTCAGTGAAATCAATGCACCAGGTGAGCTGGGTGCCCATGCTCTCTCTCACTCTCACACACATACAGAACAACAATGCTACAATGCTCATGTCTTCTACGTAACAATAAGGCATAAATGATAATGTTAATCTTCTTTGTCAAACTAAGAAAGCCAGTGATCTTGCCCTCTCACACTATACAAAACAATTAAAGGCATAAAGTAATACATTAAAAAAACCAAATGATTGTTAAAGACAGCACAGCAAATCAAATCCACAACAACTCAACCAAATATATATATTTATACATCTATTAAAAGATTAAGATCAAATGCTTCAGAGTCTCCTATTAACCACAGGACCTGTCTGCCAGGAGCGCCTGAGCGAGCCCCTCCTGTCGAACAGACGTCGCTGGTTCAGCGAGGCGTCATCTCGAGCTCCATCTCAAATTTTTTGGTCTTGACAGTTTAATAAAAAAAAGAAAAAGAAAAGAAAACTTAAGGGAGATTTTTTTTTTCTGGGGGGAAGTATGATAAACACTACATTCAGTCTTGGTAACATACTGGTTCAAATATAAAATATGAATATCTTACAAGTGTTTATATATATATTTATATGTATAGAATTAAGAAAAGATCGTTTCTCTAATTCTTAAGTCTTTCCTCAGATAAATATTTCAGTAACATCCTATGGTGCCAGTGGCAACTGGTTCATGTTGCTTGCAAACCTCCAAAACTCCAAACAAGCACTGAAACACGACTGAGTTCTTCAGGGCTCTTGTGGCCTCAAAGTTAAGGAAAGAAAGAAAAACAAAACACACCCACCAAGCTGCAAAGAGAAAAGGCTTTTACTTTGGCAAGAAGGATCTCAAAATAATATTTAAACCTGGAAATACCCCATAAATAGTAGTACTAGAAAATAGCAGTAGTAGGTTGTCCTTGCAATGGTTCCTATGTATGGTTCATCAGTATAAACGCTGAATGGCAAGCCAGTCAGTAATTATACATTCTACAATGCTGTATACAGAGAAATGTCTAAAAGGTGAACCTATGTTTGAAGCGCTGCTGAGGTATATTTAGTCAAAAATAATTCAACAGAAAAGAAGCACATGAGAGGGGAACGGGGACAAATTTCACTGCTTGCAGTCTGAGTGAGTTACTAATTGCTGTGTTTGTCATTTTGAAGCAGAACAATGCTACTTTTGTGTGGGGTTTAGCTGAACGTGCAGCACAGAACGGTACTTATCCCACCGCTGTGTTGGCTAAGATAAGTTTGGGGAGTTTTTAAACTAGTCCCCAGACAGATTTCGGGTGCAGCATATCGTTTCCTAGCATGCTGGTTTGAAACGGCGGAGCTGAGAGGAGGTGAAGTATTTATGGATTTACATAAGTGATCCCTCCAGCAGGGATAGTGCGAACTACAATACCCTGATTCTCACAGGATGTAGTCTTAAAGCTATTAGAAAGCATGCAGGCGTCTTGACAGCTCAACTCTGACAGGAGTCTCAGCAGCAAGTTGTTAAAGCTAAAGTTTCTGTGATCCTTATCCAGCAGCACCAAATCACGAAAATCAGGTATCGACTGAGGAGGGAGAAAAATAAAGAAATAAATTGTGGAGATTTAAGAGAGTGAAAAGCAACTTGTGTGCTCAAGACAGGCACAGCAACTACTGAGAAAAACCACTTTGGTTCAAGCTGTTGTTTTATGGCTGAATATTAGCACAAAACCAAAATCAGATCTTTTCCATTATGCTTCAGAAAAGTCCAAAACTGCTACCACAACTGATTAGAAAGGAAAAGGCGCCACTAAACGGCTCGCATTAGACCAGATTAAGCATTGGGCCGAGGCCACGGTGATTTAATAAAAACTAAATTTAAAAAGTAAAATGATAATAATAGAAGTAAAAAGAAACTTCCTCATACTCCAACCCACCAATCCCTCTCTTTTTGGTCAGTTGTGCTGCCAATTAAAAATTTAAATATGAGACACTTGGTCAAATCAAACAAAATAACAAAAGAAAAGAAAAAAGAAAATGTAGTCTTTGGAAAATGATCATCAAAATATTGCATTTCTATATTCTGACTATGAAGAGATTTTTGTACTCATAAATATATTGACTAGACTAAGCTACACCGACTACACACAGCAATTATTTTAACAAATATTTTTGGTATATCTTAAAGTAGGTAAGCCAGTCGAACGACTGCAAACAAAATAAAGAGACAGAATTTCAATCCTCCCAAAACAGGCAGACTGCAGCTCATCAATCCAGTTATTTGGTACAGATACTGTGCACAAGTAGATACGACGGTACTTCTAATAAAAAAAAAGAAAAAAGAAACCAAACACCCCCCCCCCCCCATACACTATCCCCATCTAGGCAAAGCCACCACACCACAGTTCAGGTTTGGTGAACATGACTAGTTCCCTCCACAAAAAAAAAGACTGCAGAGCCTCGTGGATCGTGCGGCTGCTGAACTCTCAGCGTCTGCCTGAGCTGTCGACGACACGCAAACGTCCACGTCCAAAACTTAATGTACAGTGTTCCAACGGATCACAAACCAAAACAAGTCACCCTTAATCAGACTCAGGTCTGCAGCTCACTTTAAAGCTCTCAATGTAATGTTTTCAGTCATTTTTCTATCAGTGTCGATAATCCACACCGAGACCGTCGTTTTACAGAGGCTCGGTGGCTACTGCACCACCACCTATGTAAAACTCAGTGTTTCCAGAAGAGAGACTCGGAGAGACACGCCGCGTCCCTCCGACCCTTAAAGCAATGATAACCTTTATATCGGCCACTTATTACTTATTTTTAAAGCCTTATAACCACGATTAAAAAGTGATAGTTAAATCTTAACTTAACATTAGACTTACAAAGATCGGAAAATGTCGAAAAATATAGACAGTAAAAGATAAAAAGGGAAAAAAAGTCTCTAAAATATAATTTGATATGATTTACAACAAGGCCTGTCAAGAAACAAAAAACCAAACGAACAAAAAAAAACCCCCCCAAAAAACAAAAACGAGAGATAATTAAAAAGAGCGACACACAAACCCCCATTAGTGATTATGAACATTGTGAAATTAGTAGTAAATCAATTAAGTTTGAATGTTAGAAGAGAAAAGTTTGTTTTTGGTTAGAAGAATTTCAGAGAAAATTCTGACCTGCAAAGAGGAGGATATATATATATATGTATATATGTATATGTATATACAGCTCGATGACGCCGAGGATATTTTCTCCCTGGACACTTGTCAAGGTTCAGGAGAAGCGGCAGGCCGACAACAGTGTCCATCTGGTTACTGTTTGTGTGGAAAATTAAAAAACATCCAAGAATCATAAAGAAAAAAAAATAATAAAAGAAACCAACAGTTAAACCCACCCTTATGTTAAGTCCTTTTCTTTTTGGCGGCAGCAAAAGGATTAATTTATGGTAGATACAATGGAGAGGATGCGGGGTGGTTAGTGAAGTGCAGAGCCTATATCAGAGTACCACCCTCGTCCTACACGTTGTGAAAGGAGTAGTGCTTGACGTAATTAATTGGGCGTTAATTCGAGATGCAGCCTGACTGGCTTCACTGAGCCTTGGGGGCAGTGGTAATGGTCGAGGCTTGCACAGGCACAGCAGCCGTGCTGACTTGATGATGACCGTCGGCAGTGACCTGAAGCCCTCCCATGCCGGGCGACACCAGACTGACGGGGTTGCTGGTGAGCAGTGACAGGTTCTGGGGGTTCAGGAAGAGCGGCGTGGTCACCAGGTTGGGGGTGTTACCAGCAGAAGTGTTGGCGAACAGCAGGTTACTGCCGTCCAGAGAGGTGATGGGGATTGTGCCGCTCGATGCCAGTGCTATGGAGTGAAAGAAATGATGTAAAGGTAAGAAAGGTGCACAGGTTCACCAAATGAGGAGAGCATTTCCATCATCATTTTTTTGAGACCGCACGATAAATTGTTTAATTCGCAGAAGTAATTTTCTCTAAGCAGGATAAAACCTTGTGGGTGTGGCTTAAATGAATCTGTTCTTATTATGCAAATGAGTCATGTCCTCATTAAGTGTTTGCTTTCATTACACTAATTATAGAAATAATGGGCTGTCTTATTGCCCTTATTTTTTCTAATCATCCTTTCAATCATTTATATACTCCAACTTATTTAGCTATTGTATTCATTGAGTCATTCCTTCTGCTAAATTTAGTCTAATTTGGTCGTTTGGCGTTAAGACGTTCCCCCAGGCCGAAAAATATTTGTTAAAGAAAACAAAATAATATAAATTTTAAACTATTGCAATTTAAAAAGAAACAAAAGAGATAACCTTCTGACAGTTTGTGAACATTGCTTTGTCATAACTTCCTGTCACACCCTCAATGACCTCAAACTGATATTTAAATAAACAAATGACTTAACACAATAAAGTTATTTAAATTAAGCTGGCACCGCAATCATCCACAAACCCCAATCGCAAACATCTTGAAATCACAACAAAAACAAAAATATGACCACGATGACCCAGGGACTTCTAAGCAGCTAGCAACTGTTCTCAATTCCCAGATGTTTACTGACTATTGTTAAAAGATGAACAATAGTCAGAAAATGAAAAGTAGTAGTCCTGGGAGTGTGACTGAACCAGCCGTCAGTACTCCTCACAGCGTTGAGGGAGTGGAAATCAGAGGAAAAGGAATATGTCGATCAGTGCTGTGAAATCTTGGCTGTACAGTGGCTGTGTAGTGGCTGACACTATTTTTTTTTTTTTTTTTTTTTTTTTTAAAGTGGGTTGATGAGATTTGTAAATCATTGTATTCCGTTTTAATTTACATTTTACAAAGCTCCCCAATATTTTTGGATCTGGGGTTGTACATTACAAAAATCAGTCCTTATCTGCAGGTCCTGGAACCTCATAATCACGTAACTACTTGCAATTCTGATTAGAAAATATGTGCACAGACATAATTCAATGACTTGTCATGTAACAGGTGCTCACCTTGAATGGTAGCCAGAGTGCTGTTGCTCATGAGAGCAGGGCTCAGTGCACTGCCCAGGCCGCCAGGAGCCAGACTGAGGAGGGCACCCCTGGACACACAAAGAAGATCATGTAGTATAACAAAAACAACACCTCAACAACTGTCTGGCTTTCACAAAGATCTTATATGAACACGGCTCATGCTAACCCTTGAGTAAACTGCGAAGATGCCATCAGTGCTGGGTTGAGCCCTGCAGCAGCAGCCATAGCTGCAAAACTGGCGCTGGGTAGCGAGGCGGCCCCCTGCAACGCGGCAGAAAGCCCCGGAGCTGCCACCATCACCTGACCCGTCCCTAAACTGGTAGCGATGGATGAAGGCGCCTGGGTGACAATGGTTGGCGCCTGCGTGCCAGCTTTGCTCTCCGTGCTCGTGGACTGATTACTCGTCTGGGACGTGCTTAAAGACAGAGAGCTTGTTGCTGTGGTAACCACAGGCGCAGTTGAGATGACAGATGCAGTGTTTGTGGCTCCAACTGTCGTGCCTTGTTGAAGGCAGATAAAAAGAAATTAAAGTGAATTTTTAATCAACATTTACCATCGGGTATACACACATGCACAAAGTGAATAATGCACGCACACACCTGTGAAAGACAAACTGGGGATGCTGGTGTTGGTGAGAGGCATCACTGGGTTTACAGTCAGAGTGGTGGGTGTGGTAATAGTTGGGCTGCTATCAAGGCTTGCTGTGCTGGCCACCTGGGCAAAAGAAGGAGAATTGGAGGATTTAAATACAAGTCGAAAGACAAATCGGTCGACATTCTGATATTCTAGCTGAGCACACAGAACATATAAGGACCTGCCATGTAATCAGAGACAGTACATATAAAAAGATGAATGATCCCAAAATTAGAGAAACAGGACAATTCTAAAAATCACACTGCTTTTTCTAACTACAAATGGGTCTAAAATTTGCAATATGGACACTATTTTGTGTTATGCATGACGTAAATCTAGGGAATAAATAAGTTATAAGAATAAACTTATTAGACAAATATTTACTGAAGTTCTTTTCGTGTAGAGTTCTACAGAGGACAAGAGACAGGATGAAATCTTATGGTACTTCTACAATGACTTCACATTTCAGACCCAGATGCATCATCCATATTTTACGTTAAGTCTCCTAACGTGATCCACATATAGACACATAAACTTTAAACACAGTATTAAACAGTGCTGAGAATCCCTTTGGTGAGTGGCAGTCTTACCAAAGGGCTGCTGGGGGTGAAGATAGATTTGATAGGGGTGTTGCCTCCTCCACTGTTGCCACTACTGGGAGGATTAATCCTCTTCTCTTTCTGTCGTCGATTGCAGAACCAGACCCGAATCACCTCCTTCTCCATGTTGAGCTGGTCAGCGATCATGGTGATCTCTTCAGAGGTAGGTTTTTGGTTCTGCTTGAAGAGGGCAAAGAAGCCAGAGATTCCCTGTCAGCACTGAGGAAACTGCTGTACTGTGTTTTTTCTACCATTAACGGAGGACTAAAAGTGTATAATGTGATCATCTCAGATACTGAATAACCAAACTTTTCCTTATATAATCAATATGGAGTTCCGAAGTGTGTGTTTCTCACCTCCAGAAAGCTCTTTTCTAAGGCCACTCGAATGTTGGTCTCGATACTGGTTCTTTTCTTCCGTCTGCGGTTGATTCCCTCTATGCCCATGCCCTGGGAACCCAGGGCACTGGGGCTCGACAGGGACTGGTCAGATGTCAGGTTCTCTGCACAAACAGCATTGACACAAAGAAAAGGAAGGGAGGTAAAGACAAGGTATGCATACACAACCCACCCACAAGCACCAATGTGAGAAAACAAGAGTGATCTGCTGCACAGTCAGGTGGGGTCAGAGACAAACCTGCATCATTGAGCCACTTCTCCAGCAATGGCTTGAGTTTGCACATGTTTTTAAAGCTCAGATTCAAGGCCTCAAAGCGAGAAATAGTAGTTTGGCTAAAGTCGTTTCCATACAGCTTCCCCATGGCCAGGCCAACGTCCCCCTGTGAGAAGGAGAGATTTACCTGGGAGTTATTTATAGTGGTATAATATTACATGAACAAAGATCTGAATATGAAAACAGCCATGTGTTTGCAGTTTAAAGAAATGCCCACATCCGCAAGTCAAAATATAACTGAACTTATGGTGATTGACTGACTCTCAGCACACACCTGCGTAAAGCCCAGTTTGATACGTCTCTGTTTAAAAGTCTTGGCAAACTGCTCCAGCTCCTCAAGGTCACTAGGTTCCTCCAGAGTGGGAGTATCCAACCGTTTGGGTGGCGTCTGACTGTGAGGCAGGGACTGAATAGGTGTGGTTGCTGTTGTGCGGGTTGGGGTTGCAGGCTGTAAGGACGAGAAATACAGCAAATGTGACTGTTTTGTAGGTTTAAAAAGAGTTAAAGAATAAATTATTGAGAATAAATCATTAAAAAAAAACTTGTCAAGCTGTCAAATGTAAGCACTACCAGAGTAGCTGAAGACTATTTTAAAGCTAGTTTAAAAGATGTACTTGCATCATTACCAACCTGAGTTGCAAGGGTGATGCTTGGTTGAGTCGACAGGAGGTTAGGTTGGCTTTGAGGTAGTTGAGTTAGAAGACTCTGGGCTTGCAATATGCCTGAAGTGGGGATGATGGATGGAAAGGAAAGATTAAACAAAAGCTTCGATAGCCATACTTGAGTACATCTCTCCTTGTAATTCTGCAGCGCAACAGATCAACCTACCCTGCTGGGCCTGCGGAGCCTGTGAGATAATGAACTGAGGCTGCAGTGACGTGGCGATAGGGTGGCCAGGCTGAACCAGGACAAACTGGGGCAGACTTAGATTCTGCTGTTGTAAAGACTGCAAAAAAATATGAAAACAACCATCTAACTGTTTATAAAGCTCACAATCCTAAAGACTTTGACACAACTTTGTTTCATGTAAAATTGTCCCACAATGTCTACATTTATTCTAATCATGTGTAATTTGGTACAACCTCTACTTTTCTATTGCTCTGACAGGGTAGCAAACAAATATGTATTAAGCTATGTGTAATGTGTCTCCATATATTTATAAGTGTAGAAGTTCCATTATTAAAGTGCAGTCCTCAACTACTTTGATGAATAAACGTTCTTGCCAAAGCCATTACCACAGATGTTGAGGACTATTTTGTTTGTAACAGTTCATTTTGTCTAAGAGAGAAAGCTCGAATCATTTAGGTCATTTGCATGTTTTCCTCATTCTTTAGCTGCCTTGTTTGCTCCCAGAAAGGCAGTTTCAAATAATCCAATATGGCCTTCATACTGTTTGAAAAAACAATAGTGATATTTAATTTCACCACAGACTTTTCATGTCTATTGTTTGTATGTGGAAAGATGTTCAGCTTTACTTTTTTGTGTGTTGTGTAGGGCTACAAGCTTGCAAACACTTTACGGTACAACATTTTTCAGAGCTTGCAGGAACTCTGGCGCATAGGGGATTGAGCCTTACAGGGGCAATCTGGATGGGCTGTGACAGGGGCAGCTGGGTAATTGGTGTGGCTGCAGAGGCTGAGATGTTGTCCCCGGTGGTGCTGTTCTGCTGGTTGGCAGAATGCTGCACGGCAGCAGCCAGGAGCTGCACTTGGGCCTGCTGGAGAAACAGCTGCTGCTGCATTGGGCTCAACTGAGGCAGACAGGAGGAAAACAGAGACACGTAAGTGTTAATACAAGTAACTTATGATCATCAGATAAGTTAGTAAGTATGTCAGTGTTGTCACTATACTTTACTTCGATAGCCTTCCAAAGCTAGTACAATACTGCAGTGAAATATTAGAGAAATCCAATTCATGTGTGCATAATATTACTCACTAGAGTCTTGATATATTGGTTTTTCATCATTATGTATGATAAGAGAGGCACTTTAATTACCCGTGCCTTGGTCTGGCTTTATGAACAGCAGCAGGTTGATCGGATTGTTTGATGCATTTGCCAACAATTGTTTTATTGTTTCGGTGGCTGCTCCAGTTCACTGAACTAGACCACAGCTCTGTCTATTCTAATTATACCGACTTGTGTTCATACACCTTTACAAATGATACTGAAACAGTTTTTTTTAATTATTATTTTAAATTTACCATGTCAAACTAGTGACTGTTTATGAAAACTAATGAACAGTATTGCACTTAGCTTTTAACAGAGGTATCAAAGTTATACTGAATAATGTGGCAACACACATATGGTCCTCCACAGGCAGATGGAGACTCATGCAGCTGAGCCAGGCACAAGTGCAAATGAGCATGTTGATGTCATGTTCAAACTCAAATCCACATGCTGAGTAAACATTCAATCCTACATCGCACTGCAGCTGCATTCAACCATCCCTGGGCCATGGCTGGATATGAAATGTGTCATGTGGCTGGTTTAATGGCGAGTGCAGAGACACAAAGACTATGTCTAACCACAGGGATGAACAGGCAGACAGGCAGAGAAGACGCCAGCTTCAGCCAAGTTATCGTTTCGTCACCCAGCTGTGATTGACCGTGTGGGGGTGTCACCCCAAGATACACAACCAGGGTTTTAACTTACTCCAGCAATCTGTCCCCCGGCCAACATTAGCTGGGTTTGAGGCAATACGCTCTGCTGGACGGAGGTCGGAAGAGCACCCGAGTCTTCCGACTTTGACTAGTGGGGGTGAAGCAGAGGGGGGGAGGCTTAGACGAGATCTTCTGAGTTTTAACTTCATGTCATTGTAGCCAACATGAAATTAATTAAAAGCAATTTCAATGAATATTCAATTCAGACATTAAGCACCGCTAAATTAAAAGAAAAAAGAAAAAAAAGCATACTAGTGAAAACAATGAAACGTTCTATTTCCATGCTACCTGAGTGGCTTTCTTTAAATGAGTCTTTGGTCTTTGAACGCAGAGAGGAATTTGAATTAGAAAGGCAGCGATAAAGTGGGTATTTAAAATGTGCTGCAGCCTTCAGAGACAAGAAAAGTGAAGTGAAGGGAGGGGAGAGTTGAGATGCTAATTAAAATAACTGTTATGCAGTGCATGTAAATTCTGCATAGATTTGCATATTCTCGGCCATCTGTTTCCGAGCAACCACAGAGCAGCTAATTAGCATACAGGGTTGATTAATCTGCCTTGTTGCCAGGCGACACTGGGAGAGCCTGGCTCATTTAAATGAACTCTTTCTGCTTGTGCATGTTTGAGTGAAGATGAGCATACCTCTGTTCAAACTTCACACCTCATTTTCGAGGCTACAACAAATGTGTGACATTACACCAAAACCAAACGTGCTCCCACCACAAAAACAGGAAAACAAAAAGTTACTTAAAAAGGTCAAGTATGCAATGTTGTACACAGTGTGGTACCTGTTGGAGGAGGGCTTGTGCATGTGCATTAGTGATTGCACTTGTGGTGGGCACCGTCTGCCTCTGAAAATCCAACCCATTGGTTTGGATACCTGAGAAAAGAAAATTTGAATTTATGCCATGTGCTGTTTGACACAACGTATGCCGTAAAAAAAAAAAACAACAACAACAACACAAAAAACAAAACACAACAACAACAAAAAAAAACAAATTAAAAAAGAAAAAGAAGAAATCACTGACAAGAGAAGAAGAATCCATTTTCAAATATGAGGAAAAACTCTAAAAACATATTTTTATAAAATGGCAGCATCTGTACTAGCTAACAAAATTATATATTTTATAAGCATAAACAAACAATACTGTCAACAACATCAATTAATGTGTCATTACCCAGCAGGAGTACAAAGCTGTGCAATGAATCTGGATCTTCACTCTAAGCGTGTAATATTCAGACATAATGCACTGTGAGGTAAATGCCTCATATGACAAAGAGAGCTGCTAGCAAGCATTTTTGGAAAGCTGCCATCTATGTTTTCAAAATGAGATCATACAAAGAGAAACAGCAGGGGGGGGTTTCTGTGACTTGAGCTGCTAAAATGTCCAAATAATTGCTGGCTATGACTCTGAAACCTGTTGAATGAGGTGGTAAAACTAAACACATTCTGATTTAAAAATGAAGATAACGGGAGAAAAAGCTGGAGATCACTCACCGGTGTTCCCGTCACCACTCTCCATTGCACATTTAGTAGTTTCTGACTGATTATTCACTTTAGCATCTGAAAGAGCCAGACAGAGACATGCTCACAGGCACTGCCGCCAAACAGAAGAACCTATTCTCTGATTTCAGGCGTACTTTCACTTTTGTCATCTGAGTACAACCGTCACTGCACGTCAGGATATTCTTAATGAACAATAGCATTTCAGTCGCATTCATCATTTAAAGCAGCAAGCACTGAACAATACTAATCTCCAACAAACTAACAGAAAAAAACAACAAAAAAAACAAAATCCCAGCAGCAGACTCATGAGGTCTTAATGCAACATAATCGCACAATGACATCGACCACCAGTGCAGTCCAGGTGAGCTCTGTTACAACCTCATCAAAAAACTCACCCGCTCTTGCTCCACCTGCGTTTTCCAGCATGGCTGCTGAACCTATCAAGTAAAACTGCCTGGGCTGGGCAAGCCCACCGACAGGGTGTCCGGTGCACTCCCACCTCCTCTCTTCACTCTCCACTGGTCAACAGTGAGCAGAGTTCAATACAACCAGAGTTACACACAGACACAGTGGCAGTGTCCACTGCACGGTTCACTGAGCAACACTGGGATACGCGCACTGAGAGAGCCAACGGGGTTTAGGCAAACAGCTCTCCGTGCCTTTCCCTGCTCGCGCTTTTCTTTTCGTATGGCTCTGCCCCTTTTTCTCTTTTACTGTGCCTACTGTGCACTCTCTCTCTACCGCTCCCCCTCTCCCGTGTGCCAAGATTGTCTGTACTTCTGAAAAAGTTCGCCCTCTCCCTCTCTTGCTGGAATGAAACAAACGACAAGTGCAGCTGGCGGCCTCCTCCAACTCTGCTGCCGCCCCCCCACCCTTCCTCCTCCAACTCTATAATGAAGCATAATCAGTATTCAGCTGATTAAAGCCGTATGCAAATCTGCCCCTGCCTCGTTAGCAATGCAAGGCTTTGAAGTCCTGCGAGCAACGCATTTCACACCGGGCTCTGAAAGCTTTCTGCATAATTTAAACCCCTATAAATATTTATCAGCTCATTAGCATATTAATTGGATGGCTTTTGGAGGACGATAAAAAACAGGGGAATAAGGACGATAGAGAGGAGAAGGAGAAAAAAAGTGCTCAAACTAGCACTTGGCGCAGCAGTGAGAGGGGAGGCAGCAGCACAACACCAATTACTGTGCGAGTGCGGGCCTAAAAAGTAATTAGCTAAGAGCAGGTAAAGGGCTGAAGATATCCCAGAATGCACCATGAGGTGGTCTGGGTATGTTAGCAAGGTGGACTGCATTAATAGAACGTCTACGACTGCTCGCTCAGAACATCTCCAGGAGTCATGGAGACTTGGCCCAATTGCTAAGGGGGGGGCGCAAGAGGGGGGAGCTTGCTCAATCGGAAATAAATAACTTCACATTAATCCACCACAAGCCTGTCATTACTGCTAGACCCCCTGTGGCTAAGGCATTCCACAGCGAGCGGCTACAGAAAGTGGGTGGCGGGCTGTTGCTGTGTACGTTTATGTTGTGCTTGGGGATTAGCATATTTAAATTAGCTTTACATTCCAATAGTATTTCCTTTGAAGCCCTTTTAAATTCATTTCCAACAAGCGCCGAGTGCTAATACAGCAGGGAAGCGGCTCGGTTACGGTGCTGCACTGGTGTCCAGTGAGTCATAGCGACTGGACTGGAATGCATGGTTGTATTGTGGTCTAGAAGGGAAGGGGCTTACCAACTAAATCTACAACAACTGCTCCTGGCTAAAGCTCTAATCAACTTCTTCACTTATCCTCCTGCCTGACGAAAGGCATTTACATACTAGCTGACCAAGGGAAACAATGCCAAGAAGGCCCCAGTGGCTTTAACAAAGTACATACTGGAAAACAAACACACCTTTGTCAGCACAAGCAAGCCTTCACTCACCAAGGTATAATGGCAGCCATCTCTAAACTGCAGATAGCCAGAGACCCTTGAGATTTTTTTGTCTGACATACCCCAAATAGCTGCAAACACAACCATTGCGAAGTATAATGTATATTTTAACTGAGTGGCAAATGGATGTTGTTCATTAGAGTCACCACTAAGATTTAGTTTCATTATCATTTAATCTGCCAATTATTTTTATTCCCAAAGCTCAAGATGATATCTTCAAAACATCTGATTTTGACCAATGATTGAACACCCAAAAGTAAGAGGTTTACTGTAACTGAAATCCAAACAAATGAGAATCTTCAACCGATGAATATTCAGCAGCTTTTGTTACAAATTCCCACCACAACCAAAAATGTTACCATTTTATATACTTTCACACACACGCACTGGAGCCCTGAACTCTTCTAGATGTTAGTTTGCAAATGCCAGACACAGATTAGACATCGAGGTGAGAAAAGTCCAGGTAACAGTCACAGCTTGCGAGCAGTCATACTGCGTCTACTGCGCCTTGCCTAAACCACACGGACAACCCGAACACTAAAAGAGATAACCCAGCTCTCTTTTTGTGCATCTCAGGACTTTTAAAGAAATTCAGAGAACACCGCTTACTGCTGCTAATCTGCTTGTGCCATCTTGTAGTTGGTAGCAAATAGATTATCTAAATAAGAGCGTACCCTTTATTTAAGAAAAGAAATAAATGCTCAGCAAACTTACCAGACTCTACTCCTCTTTCTGACTGTCCTCAACTCTCTGTCCAGCTCTACCCTCTCTGTTGCCTCTGACTGATGACACTATTATGAAACATTTCTATAAGCACTTCATTCCTTTCTAATTAAGACTTGATTTGATATTTCTGAGGGTCTTTCTACATTCTTGGCCTTTTTGTGCTTTAAAAAATGATCAGATCTCTCTTTTGTGTGTCATTGCCCGTCTGCCAAATAAACACATGCATAGGCATCTTAACTATATTTTATAGAGCATGTTACCGTTTTATGAAATCTGGTGTTTTTTTTTATTTAACTTTATCTTAATATACACAATGACAAATGTCATTGTGACTTGTAACAAACCAAACTATTTCTAGTGGTACAATTAAGAAGGCAAGTAAGAGCTGTGTAGTATATCCTTTGGTGTAATTGTAATTCTATAATTTGTGTGAGTGCTTTCAAGGCACATTTTTATAATAATTACAAACACAAACATATTTGTTTAGTTAACAACTCTAGGGACAACTGTTTTTAAAAAGGGTCAAGCTCCAGAAACACTGCTTGACCTTATATTCTTCGCTATGCACCCTGGAATGGGGGGAATTTTTGTCAGAAACCTCTGCTCTGTTTTGACAACCCCAGGAACTGGGGTTTGGACCCCTCAGTTCCCCCACTATTGTTATTATGCTCACAAAGCCTCAGACCACACCAATAGCCTTTATTTATATGCTTCTAGAAAGTATACCTACACTTCTGTGTACTGATGTCCAGTGTTGAGCCTCCATACAATAGATTTTAGCCTGACTCAAGCCTATTGTTTACTAAGGCAGTTATGGGAAATGTCACACTAGCCTGCAAAGTCTCAAAGAGGCCATCTCAACAAAGTGCACATGAGAGGTTAAGAAATAAGTCTTCTGTTCTTGACTTAATGCAACCAAATGAGAAAACAAAGGAGAAGTAGACACAGTTATCAGCAGTGCACTCCAACACATGTACAGCTACTTGGTTGAATGGGTTTGCAAAACCTTGCTGTGGAACAATGCTTTATACAAATACCCTGCAAAGAGAATTCTAAATAGCTATCTCATTAGTGCAGTAATATGGGATGGCTGGCTGAATACTGCAGAGCCGTTAATGTGAGCGGAGAGATTCAACTTGAGACAGAATGAAACTTAATTAGCACATCCACATTCTGTCCTGCTACCTATATCCTTCATCTTAAATATAAAATACATCCAGACCACTTTTCCACATCTGGATCAGTCTTAAATACTTAGACTGGTTTGGAACAGTCTGGTGTACGGTTACGACAGATAATCATTCAGTTTGAGGCAATTAAAACTAGGCAAAAAGCTTTGTGGTTTAATGCAGCATCAAAATGAATACCCAAACAATTCAAAATCGCTTTTAATACCAGTCAGTGTATTAAACCCAAACAGTCTGACAACAGAGGGTCGAAGCAGCAACAGTGGACTGAGCTCACAAATGAGCCAAACACTGGAAGCAGTGTAATTTGATGAACAGTAATGGGGCTAACATCACTGCAAGCTACTGTGGTATCTCTCTAGGGTGGTCATTAGCCAACTGTCTATAGGCTAGGTGGGAAATTCAATCTAACCAAATTAAAGTGAAGTTTCTCAGGGACAACAACTCAGCTACTTCAAATAGGCACGTACAGAGGTTAGCCACATGAACCAGTACTACAGTCTGAATTCAGACACACATTCACTACTTAAGAAAACAGCACATGCATGAACATTTGATTATTAATGTGTTGTAGGGCTGCACGATTAATCGTTAGAAAAATCGCGATCTCGATTCATACTTATGTGTGATCTGACGACGACCACGATTGTACCGCATTTTGATCCGGGACGTAATCTGCATGAAAACAAGCGCTCACTCTTCCTGCTCAACAAATGACAAGGGCGGAGCCTTATACCACGTGATACAGAAGCTGTGCCGTGTGATGCTAAAATTAGCAGGGATTAAACAACGGAGAACACGTCAGGGATGACGAGAAAGTGACAGGAGAAAATCCGTCCCGGTCAACCACCCAAACATCAATAACGGGAACCTTATACAGCGCTTCCCTATACACGTCGAACTCCCGCAGGCACAAAGAAATTACGGAGGCTATCATTTATGACCTGACCAAAGATATGGCTCCCATCAACACTGTACAAAACGAGGGATTTAGGAAAATGATCAACACCCTAGACAAACGCTACACAGTGCCGTCCCGCAACTATTTTTCTATTGTTGCACTACCTGCTCTATACACGCAGTGTCGAGCAACGGTGGAGACGGAATTTCAAGCAGTACAACATTTTGCGGCAATGTTCAGTTTCAACTGTTACGAAGTTGATGTGCAGTTAATAAGTGCAATAAATATTTATACTGGAAAAGAGAATCGTGATCTCAATTCTAAGCCAAAAAATCGTGATTCTCATTTTATGCAAAATCGTGCAGCCCTAATGTGTTGTGTGTTTTACTTTTGTCTAATAGGAAAACAGTGCAGCCTTTTTCCTTTGGAAAAAAAAAAGTATCCAGCTTCCTGACTGTTGATACAAGCCAACATTTTAATCTCATCTATTTAAAGGACGGGCATTATTGCAATGATATTTCAGTCTGGATATTTTCAGACAAAAGGCCTCTGTTTTCTTAACGTGCTTTGCATTATATCGTGTTTGCAGCATTAAAAAAACGTTTGAATGAAATACAAATGTTTACTAATACTAGTGATCTTAATTATGTTAAGCACATGACAGTCATCATCAGGAACAATGTGACTACTTCCAATCTTTAGTATATAGTCTGATTTAATCTTCCAAATTAGTGTGTCATTTGTCTTAAAAAGCCTCCGTTTTTACAGATAAAGACCAGCTGGAAACATCTGCTTTACCTTGCTGCACTGTTTAATAAGGAATTGCTCTCTTTACCAGAGATCACCAAAAACAAAACAAGTAGTTACAACCCGAGGGCACAAAAGAGCTCTTTTTTTGGTTATAATTTTCCTCCATTTAAGAAAGAAAAAAAAAAGAAAAAAAAAGAAGAAGAAGTCGTCTGACTGGAGCTTTCATGGAGGCCTTCTCAGTACTTTGAGATGGCATGTCCTGAATTTATTACGGCAAATGATGCATTATTCATAACAACTGTGTTTACATCAATGAATATTCATGATGGAACTACAAGGCTGGAATGAGGGTGGAACTGTAAAACTGATTAAATGAGAAAAGTAGACTGAGTGTGAGGAAGACAGAATTACTTCTCGTATGTTCTTAAGTGCCCAAATTTAATATGCAAGATTTTTTTTTTTTTAAATTCCAGACAGTCAAAATGCTAACAGACACATTAGAATGTAACACTTCGAGCATTATTTTGAATATTAAACCATTTATGGCCTTTCTTCTCAAACAATCTATATCTTTTAGATTCATAACTGTCTTGCAATATAGAAGGAAACTGCCTGTAATGCCTGTCTGCGCATAAAGTTGCTAACAATGTGGGCAAAGTTTGAAATGAGTGTATCTACATCGGAAAGAATTCAATCTTATTCAAGAATCCTTAACAAAAAAAACAAACCTAAACCTTGTTTTAACTTGCTAAGGGACAATACGTTCCTCTGTAATTATAAGATAATGAGCCAGTTAAACCACTTAAAAAAAAAGGGAAAAAAAAAAAAAAGACACCCCCCCCACACACACACACACACACCTGATGTGTCACACAAAAGCTTTTCTGGCGCATTTTCTCAAATATAAAAAGTTGAACAGCAAAGATAATTACCTGCTCTTTACTGTTACTACAGACCTCAGACACGCTTCTATAAAACAAACTAAACAGCAAGCTCAGCTACATGGACTAAAGGAGAAAAAAAAGTGCCATCAAGCTGTGTCTTGCCCGGCCATGAAAGCAGCAGAGTGAATAATAAGAATGCCCTGCCTGTTATTACTGTGGCCTTCCGGAAGTGGGCCTCACCACCCCTCCCTGTGCCTGGGGGTGGCGGGTGGGGGATACACAGGTATAATCTTTGAATTCAGCCCAAGGACTCCAGCAACAAACACGCATGACGCGTACAAACCCGGTTCTCAAAACCGTTACGTCAGGCGCAATTAAAAGCTGCACAAATAAATTACACACATTGTAATGAGATGGATTAGTTCGCCTGGCAGACCAGGACCAAGCCGATGCCAGACTACTCCCACCTCAAGTTTAAAATAATAATATTTTTTAAAAAGTGCTCCACCCAAATTTCTAACTGTTTAACTTCCGAAATAAAGATGTCAAACACATTCATCTCAACATCTTACTACATATGTATCTGTACTAAACTTTAAAAAAAATTAGAAATAAAACCGCCGTGTACGCAAAGTTAGCCGATAAAGGGCTGACAAGTTGTAGCCAGTTAGCCGCTTGGAGGACAGCCGTATTCAAATGAAACACGGGAGGCCACATTTGAAAAGTCATCCGGCGTCGTGACACGTTATTGTGTTGACATGCATTTATTGTGTGCTCCTCGTCGACTGCTGTAACGCGCTGAACTCCGCACACTCTGGCTCAGGCAGGCAGGCCCCGCATGAATAACACAACAGGCTGTGCCGTGGCTCCGCTGCGCCGAGCACACAAAAGGCTGGGGCAAAACGCTCCGCTATAAAAATCACGTCGAGCACAAGCACTCCGAGCTGACTCCGTGTGTCTTTAACAAAGGGATGGTCTGCTACAGTTGGATTAAATAACACCCTCCTCCCTTATAAACGACCCTTTGAAAACATACGAGCGCAGCCGCTGCCCGACTCGGCTAAAATGAATATGCAAACCCGTTTCAAAAGCTTCGGTGTGTGCATCAACACAAAGCCAAGCGCTAGCACGGCAGCTAACGCTAGCCACCTAGCATAATCATTTCAATCAAACCGCGTTCGTGAAAGGTCTAAATATGTCATACATGAACCAGAGCCACGATGGCGATTACTAATAAAATATGCTAAATTGTATTTGTCGACAGAGGTATGAATATGTAGCGGCGTACAGCCGTCTAATCACACAAAGGGGGGGAGGCATGTTTCCATGTAATTTGCCGTCGCACTGCAAAGGCTCGTTTCCTCCTCTGTCAAATTACAGTTGGCTAGCTGTGTGTAAACTAAAACAGCGCCTAATATCGCCCATATCTGCTAATCAATCTGCATTTCATCAGTATGCCGTTAACATAAATTGTGAGTAACACAGTTTGAATATGAGTATGAATATGTAAAATGCTGTAATCATTACCTGCTCCTGAACTCTCATCTTGACTCGCTGCTCCTCCGTCCGCCATTTTGAATATTTAACCCGAAATCCCAGCCCTGACACACACACTCGCACATATACACATACACAAATGCACGTGCACGTTTTCACGGATACCCGCATGCGCTCAGGGACCTGGTCTGGGGATAGTGGAGCGTGTTGTGAGCTGTGGCTTATTTACATACTTAAACAGGCATCTTGTTTTCTTTACACAATAATTTTTGAATTGAACAGGCCATGGGCGGATCACCCAGCGGACCTGCGCAGTATAATCGCGGAAAACATCAACACTAGCCCTGAAAATTGCCCAGAGCCATTTATGCTGGTTTGACTCGCCACTTAAACGTCAAATAAAACAAAATATACCCAGAGGAATTTAAAAAAAATGCGTAATGTGTGACAACCACAGTCATCTTAATCGATGACTCAGGCACAGACTATTTCACAGAAATATCAGGAGAAATATTGTATTGCTATTTACTGGGGATTTATGAACTTGTATTGATGCTTTGTCTGCGTGTGGTGCAGCAAAACATTGATTAGACCGTCTTACTTCAAAAACATATACAAAGCATGAAGCAACAGAAGAACAATGCAAAGACTTTTTCTTTTTCATATATTTGCTTACTATCTCTGATATCATTGCTGTTTCTGTTTATTTATGGAAAAAGTAAACATGTAAATCAAGAACACATTTCCTTATATCCCCACCCCTTCCTGCATGTTGTCCATTGATCTATACCAGGATATATATCAAAATATACCAGGAGTACGACGGTTTTCATCCCACTTTGAATAACCGTACCTTATAGGGAAAAGAGTGTGCCTTTTTTAATTCTTAAATTAGACCTATATATGTGTGTGTGTGTGTGTGTATGTATTTATATATATATTATTTTATACTATTTATATATATATATATATATATATTTATATATATATATATAATATATATATATAAAAGTGTCGTGCTTCTGAAATTCAATACTTCAGTTTTTAATTTTATCATTTTACCCCTTCATCCAGAGTCATGGTGGGCTTGTGTATACCCCAGGTGTTGGTATTCTTGGACTGGCTGACAGTCCATCACAGGGCTAATATAAAGAAACAGACAACATACTCTCATATCTACAATTGTGGTCAGGCATTTACATACATCGAACACGGGGATGAATGAGCTTTTACTGGCTTCTTTGAACTTTTCATTTTCCAGGGTAAAGTATACATCTTTATTGGCTTTGAAAAAATAAAAAATGGCTACACCAGTTTGAATTTGTTTTTGGATTTTCTTGAATCCACACAGTGTCAAAAGTCTTAATCCTCAAATACATACACCCCCACTAATGTTTGGTGAAATGTCCCTTAGCATCTTGCACCTTGACCAGATGCTTTTGATAGCCATAAGCAAGCTTGTAGTTGGATATTTGATCGCTCGTCAGAATTCATAGAGTTCATTTAAAATTATTGGTTTCCTGGCATGGACCTGGCTTTTAAGCATAGCCCACATATATTTAATAATTTTAAGGTCTTCTTAAGTAGTACAGATACTAGTGTTAAAAAAATACCCCAGTAAAAGTAATGAAGCAACTTCT